TTTTTATGCTATGGATCATTCACATAGGTAGAATAATGAATGAATAAGATGCTGTTACATTCTTTTCTCTTTCTGTTTTGAGAGTGTGCATTCTCCTACTGGCAAGGTTACCTCTAATGAATCAATAATGTCCTTAACATAAATGGTTCTCATGCGAAATAGTACAACAGCATAACTTCAAAAATATATGGAAAGGTTATGGAGCCCGTCTGTTGTGCATTTTACTGCCAAACAGAAGCAGCTATAAGCAAAAAGAGAGACGAGAACAAGTACACAAACTCGGTAATTTGTAGGTAAAACTGCATTCAATTGCTTATTTTGTGCTTTTAGCCAATTATAATTAAGTTAGAGTTCCATTTATTGTCAGTTGCCATAAAGTGCATATATAGCATTGAAGCAGGGATAAAATAAGTTGTTCTATTACCTGGCGTGTAGAACGCAATACATTGGACTAATAGTGTAGTATCTAGAGCAAGATATATTTGTTATTGTATTTAGGATAATTACTTTTATCCATTCAAATAGTGTAATGGAAAGGGTAACAATAGAATCACTAGTAATTGCTCAACATCTGTCATGAAACCAGGACAATTTCATTCTACAGTGTGAGTTAGAAGTCATGAATGACCACTACTACTGGAATATATCTGATATATATATATATATATATATATATATTACACAATCCCAGCAACTCGTGTACTGAATTGCTGGGATTGTGTACCGAAACATCTGCACAAAATATGGATTGGACCTGCCTAAGTCCAGATGGGAGAGACCACAAAGGGTAGTTGAGAATGACAGGGCTAAGGTCCTGTGGGACTTTAATATGTAGACAGACAAGCAAGTGCTGGCCAACCAACCAGACATCATGGTGGTAGACAAGGAACGAACAACTGCAGTCATGGTGGATGTGGCAATACCCAGTGACTATAACATCAGGAAGAAGGAACATGAGAAGTTGGACAAATACCAAGGACTGCAAGAAGAACTAGAAAGGATGTGAAAAGTGAAGGCAGTAGTAGTCCCAATTGTGATAGGAGCACTTGGGGGAATGGCTTCAACAGATTCCAGGTAGAACATCTGAGATCGCTATCCAGAAGAGTGTAGTTCTAGGAACAGCTAAGATACTTCACAGAACCCTCAAACTCCCAGGCCTCTGGTAGAGGACCCGAGAATGAGGAATAAACATACCACCCAGGATGGGTGAGAAAATCAATTTTTTTTTATAACTTTTTATTTTTTCATTGGCAAGCATTACAGGCTTAAAGGAGCACTGTAGTGCCAGGAAAACAAACTCGCTTTTCTGGCACTATAGGGACATTAGATCCCCCCACCCTCATGGCCCCCCTCCCTCTGGGCATAATGGGTTTAAACCCCTTCAGACATTTATCTTTCTCCCGCGCCAGGCTCCCTCTGTGCTGGGGAACTCTCCACCTCCTGCCGACGTCAGATCCGAATGTTCATGCGCGGCAAGAGCCGTGCGCACATTCAAACAGCCCATATGAAAGCATTACTCAATGCTTTCCAAGGACGTCCAGTGTCTTCTCACTGTGATTGCACTTGTTGGACCTAATCACCTTAAAATATCAAACTTCAAATATAGCCCGTGCAATATCAAAATTGACCACTAGAGGTCGACATTAAACATGCAGTAATTACCTGACTTCAATTAAACTCCTGTGCAATATAAAAACTGACCACTAAAGGCCGACATTTAAAACATACAGTTTTTAACTTAAACAGTGAAGTAAAATAATTCTTATGAAATTGTGTGAAAACTACAGCTAAAATAGGGCGTTCGGTTATAAATATACGAAAGTGATATTTATAACCGAACGTCCTATTTTAGCAGTAGGTTTCACACAATTTCATAAGAATTGTTTTAATTCACTGCTAAAATAGGGCGTTCTGTTATAAATATACGAACGGCCCTTGTGGTGGGCTAACTTTCGTATATAACCAAACGTTCTGAGATTAACAAAAACTGCACAAAATAATAGTTTGAGAAATACAACAACTTGGTGTTCGTACATTTTAGCTGAACAGGTGTGTTTGTGTGCATGCTTCCGAAAGCCTGCTAACCTAAGTGGGATATGAACAGGCCTGGAATGACACTGAGCGCCTGCAACTGAGGTGCGACAGACGGCTCGACTCATGATTTTTACGATTCAGTCAATGAAGTGACTGGAGCAGGTATGGGAGACCTGTCGAGGTTCTGGAGAGTTGGAAGACAGCAAAACGGATGACCAGGTAAGCGTTCCCACCACCTGAAGGTAAGTAACATGGCGATTTGCACAGACCGGAAGTTATGGTATGCAAATAGCCAGACTGGATGATAATGGAGAGCGGTCTGGTGTCCTTAAGAAGGAAAATCCAGCCCCTCCCATAACTATAGGCCAAGTCTTCCATATTGACTGTTGAAGTGAGATTTCTGTGGGAAAAGCAAGTCTTATGGCTTGACTGATGTGTGTATTTGTGTTTAGCAATATATTAACTATCCACTTACTTCAGGTGGAAGGGGTTGTCATCCACACTTTTTTTCCCCACCACAACTCTTTTGGTAGTGTGTGTAGATTGAATTAGTCATATTAGTCCAGTAGATAAGATGCCAACATGCCAAAATGTACAGTGTGAGACAAAAGTTGCTACATTGGAGAAACTGGCCTTAAGCTGCATCTCAGAATGAACCTACACAGACACTCAATCAAGAAAACAAATATTGTACCCCTGTTGGTCATCACTTCACCCACACTGATCACTCCATCCAAAACCTCAGGATTAAAGTTATTAAAGGGAATTTTAAAGACACTCATGAACGAAAGACATTTGAGATGAAAATAATAACACATTTAACCCCTTAAGGACACATGATATGTGTGACATGTCATGATTCCCTTTTATTCCAGAAGTTTGGTCCTTAAGGGGTTAAACACAATAAGTAAGGCACTTAATGTAGACTCTGGCTTTCTGACACACTACCAAAACTTTATATAAATAAACACATATTAATGTCTTGTATAGTTCTTTTTCAATACGCCCGCTTCACCTCTATTTCGTGTGTGTGTGTGTGTATCTGTGTGTGTGAATGCCGCTGTACATTTGTATGCCCTGCCCTGTTCTTTTTATTTTTTTTAAAATGTCAATTGTTTTAACTGTTAAACTCTATCAAATTGGTCAGTATTGCTTCAGACCTGAGGAAGAGAGGAAAACTCTTGAAAGCTTGTCTTTTTAAATATTATGTTATTCCAGTAAAAAAAAAGTACAATTGAATACTCCAATACTCTGGTATTTTAGCATTATAAGTGTTACATTTTGTTAAATTAGAGGTTGGTGTTTCGTGGCTGTATGCGCTGGAGTTTGTATGTAATATTATCAGGCCATAGCAGCACCTTGTAATGTGTTCAGATGAGTGCAGCCCTCTTGTTTGTAAATGTATTGTTGAGTCCAGGCCAGTTACTTTGACTTTGCACCCCTCCCTGTCACAGATGCCTCATTCCAGGGCCCTATTTAACCTGCACTGCAGAGAGCCCCAACTGGAAGGATTTCCCAAGAAAGTAGGCTGCTATCTTAAGAGCAAGAACTGGGTTGCTAGAATAAGACTTGCCAAAAATGGAGTACACTGGGGTTGTGGTAGGCTTATGCAATGTATAATCATATACTTTAACTACATGCCCATTATTATTGCCTAAAAATAAATTTTGTGAACTTTGAAGTTGGTGTTTAGTGGGTGAGTACATTGTATTTTGCATGTTATATTTCATTGAGGGTGCAATAGCAAGATAACATTTCCATTTTTTATTCTTTAAAATAATATTTTAGGGTAAATAGAGAAAACTGTGCATTCTCAGTATCAAACATTATAAAATCACATTATGAAAATAAAAAAAATTAAGATTTTCTTTTTTAATATATATTTTTCATTATGATAATTAATTGAAAGCACACATTTGCTTAATTTATTGGCAACAAAACCTACAAACAAATCTCAGATGTGTGCTACATTAAACACAGAACTCGTTTAAAACCATTTAAGCCATTATAGGACTTTAATAACTCTTAGTTACTGAAGGAAATTTCATATAACAATTCATTTTAATCATTTTAATTATTTTGCTATAAAAATGTTAAAATTGAGCTAAAAGCCTTGTAAATACTTCAGATAAGGATGGTTATCCTTATTGTAAATCTAAAATGTATCTCAAGATGCTAGTGAAATGTTTATTTCAGAAAACCTGCATTACTGCAAGAGAATAAAGGCAGAAATATTCTCAATATCATACATAATTTATCATTGTGAGTGTTTCCCATCTTTAACCTGTACAATATATAAATGTTTAATAGTTAGCAATGAGCGCCTGCAGTAAGTAGGGATATGAAAGTCTACATTTTGCTGAGTTGCAGTTGAAAGCCTTTAATGTATTATACTAAGGATTACAAAAGGCTGACTTTTAGATTAACTTAATGGAAATATACAGTACTATGTTTTAGCAAGCAAACCTTCCTTAAAACTGAAAGGCTTTAGCTTACTTGTCACTGATGAAAAGGTTTCTTTTTGACTTAAATTCTGCATTTGGAATAAAAAAAAAAAAAAGTGTTGAAAATGACTTTATTTTATAGGTGTTGCATAAAAGCACTTTAGAAAGTAAAACCAGAGGTAGTAATAAGCCAAATTTGCAGAGAGTGCAAGATTTTTTTCATATTCGTATTTTATTGAGTTTTCCAAACAACCATGTGGGGGGTACAGAAAGGAAAAAAGGGGAGGGGGTGTATCCACAAGCATATAGTAGATAGGTACAGTGTAATAGTTACCAATATTCAGATACATACAGATACATACAGTTTGCGATGAACATTACGTTTTGTGCTTTCGTTAATACATACACCTGTGCATCCAGCCAGTCTTAGTCGGTCGTGCCTCTTATGTCATGTCGTGTTTGAGGCCGTCCTCTTTTGTAAGGCTGCCTATGTGTGCCTGGCAATTCACCCTGTGTGCGTACTATCAGTTATGTATTTACTCCATTTTTGCCAATTGTTGTGTGTGACATCTCTGCGTCTGGGTGTCGTAGTAATCATCATTTCATGTCTCAGATACTGTTGTGTCTTGTGGAGTAGTTGCTGTAGCGTCGGGCATGTCTGTTGTTTCCAGTGGCATGCAATAAGGTTGCGCGCAGCAAGCGCCATCATAATCAGTAGTTGTTTGTCCTGTGCAGGAATTTGAGCAGGCATCAGGAACAGCAGACTCATGGTGGGAGTTAGAGTTCCCTTCATAAGTCCTAGAGAATTGCCCAGTCTTTGGACTTCAGTCCACAGTGGAATAATGTTTGGGCACTCCCACCAGACATGCCTCATCGTCCCTACCTCTTGAAAGCATCGCCAGCACGTGTTGGGTGTTGCCGGGTAGATTTTATGTAGTTTGTGGGGTGTGAGGTACCACCGATATACAAGTTTCTTATGTGCCTCTATGTGTGAGTAACAAGAAGTCACTCCTTTGAGTGCCCCAAGGGACTGTAGCCACTGCTCGTTATTTAGCTGTGGGAGTCCTTCTTTATGCCATTGTATCGTAAAAGCGAAATTCGTTAGCAGGGGGTGTTGTCCTGAGGCGGCATATCCAAGGGATAGAGCTTTGGCTTTGATTGGTGTGTTCCGGCACCTATTGTATATAGCTATAAGGTCTGGGTTAGGGGGCGGGAGTATGTTGGGTCTGGGTGTGGACCCTATCTTTAATTATGCTTTTGAGTTGGAGGTATGGGAATATGTAGTTAGATGGTAAGGCATATTTGAGTTGAATGTCAGGGAAGGGCAACACGGTTCCATTTTGATAGATATCGGTGATGTGTGTGATGCCCTTGTCTTTCCATTTATGTAAAGATAACCATGGGGAGATGGAGTGGAGCGTTGTTATCGGGGCCCATGGAGAGAATTTCGTAATATTCTCATATCTTTTATGGAGATTGTCCCATATTTGGATTGTGATTCTAGATGTAGGGAGCATTGTGGCATTTTTATCCCTGAGATGTTTGGGTGTCCATAGGATATCTA